GGGGGGGGGGGGGACTTCTGCAGCTGCATCGATCACAAGAGCTGCAGGCGGAGGCTTATGCAGGCTGCGCGGAGAAGCTCGCTTTCTTTCCTACTATCTAAAAAGAGACCCATCGCAACATCATCCGAAATTTTAGCATTTTGGACGCAGTGCCCATGGAGACATAAGGAACTGAAAATCTCAAAAATGCAGAGTTGTCACTGCATTTATTTATTTTGAGACATGAAGCACTCACTTATAAGATGTGTGTTTACAGGCTTTTGTAGGGACAATAGACACGTACCCTGCGAATACGGTAGCTGCCAGCTGCCTCGTTGTTTGCCCTGTCCTATTGAAGCAGTCTGCTTCAAAGTGCGCTGAACATATGACAACACATCATTACTTTTTCGCGTCCAACCTTTTTGCCTCTATGTGCGACCCAATGTACTACGCAATCCGACATCATTGTAAAACATAAAACTTGCAAAAGAATGATGCGCGGTGGCTCTAGGGCACCCGCACACAAAGTTAAATATTTGCACACGCGAATGCATTCATAGTTGCCAACATATATAAAAACATTTGAGCACAAATGCCTTGTAACAAGAAAAAAGTAATGCCTTGCGTTTGCTTCATGCGATTCGCGCAGCCACATGCTGCACAAGCGCTCACCATCGACGAGACAAGTGATCACAGTTCACTGCACCCCATCGCGGTGGTCTAGTGACTGAGGTAATCGGCCGCTGACCCGCAGTTCGCGAGATCAAATCACGGCTGCACCGGCTGCATTTGCGATGGAGGCGAAAATGTTGTAGGCCCATGTGCTCAGATTTGGGTGCACGTTAAAGAACCCCAGGTGGTCGAAATTTCCGGAGCCCTCCACTACGGCGTCTCTCATAATCATATGGTGGTTTTGGGACGTTAAACCTCACATATCAATCAATCAATCAGTCAGAATTTCTACAGTGCTCCACTATGGCGTCTCTCATAATCTTATGGTGGTTTCGGGACGTTAAAGCCCACATATCATCATCATCATCATTATCATCATCATCAGTTCACTGCCATAGCCTCGTTGTTCGATTAGAGACACCGCATGCAACATCACCATCAGAAAAACAGCGCCGAAACCACATACGCTGGCACGTGCCGAAATTCAGCCATCTGCTTTCAGCCATGAGCAATATGGTGCAACGTCGGCGTCACCCGGGGGCTTTCCCTTCACTCCAGAAGTTGGTCAGCAGACGCCACAAACAGAGAATAACTGCGCCATTTTGGCACGCCTGCATGGTGCACCAAGGCACTCCACACGCGTTGACATACCGTTTAAAGCAATAAACGCACTCAGAAATCAAAAGCAATAGGCGTACCAATGCACTACGCACAAGAAAATTGAAAATGTGAACTGCGTGGTCAAAACTGCATCCTCAGCTCTCACTGGCTCTAGAGAATGCTAGCAACTCTATCTGCGGGTATCTGCGGGTTGATTGTCCCATATTTTATTCTGCTTTCAGGAGTGCTGGAAACTCTCTGCTGCATAGAGTATTGCCACGCTCTCTCGAAAGAGTGCTGGTACTATGACTAAACGAGAGCAAACATGCTGCCTCCCAAGAGTAGAGCCGTGCTTCTCTGATAGAGATCACATATCCTCAAGAGTTGCGCTGCCCTCTCACACAGTTTTACAATCTGGTCAAACCAAAGTGCATCAACTCCCTTCTAGAGAATAATCACTGCTACTGCGACTAACTTCTAAAAAAAGAGAGAGATATGCGTCGAGCATTTTCGACAATCTAACAGTGAACATGCTATACCTACAATTCTTGAAGCTTAGGTCCCATAAACGCGAAAGATATCGGCACCCACATTATAATTGAACACCACACAGCAACAATAAACATATACCTTTCGCGCTACGGAGAACCACATATGTATAGAAACTAGTATATATATCCATGAGGTCTACCCCAACTCCTAGTGCTGGTGCAGATACATCTTTATTACACATATTTGAAGAGAAAACTTACATCGAGCATGTGTATGTTTCTCGTGAACGTTAAAAAGACATGTAGGCGCGTAAGTCTTCTACTACAAAACATGTCATTGAATGTCGTTTTTGTTATTTAGTTAAAATTATCACCCGGCATTCTGTGATTTCGTCTCACTGCGGTGAAGCCGCTTATGTCTAAGTCTGAAAGCTTTAGCTGGGCACTTACAAATACAGTTGGGATGATATTTCAGCTGTGCTAGCCGAAAAATATTCTACGAAAGATCCAGTGTCCGATGCGACTAGCAGTGCTATGACGTGTACTAGTACATCATAAATACAACGCTGATTGACAAAAGCACAAATGAAACGCATCTCTGTCAATGTGTACATTTTTGCTTACCTCGGCTGCACTTGAATGTAACTATTATGGGCTTGAGATATGCTTTAATTTAAACCTTCTTGAGCCACTACCACTGAGAATGGTTTAACCAAATATGACCCGTGAAACTCCCAGCGAATGTAGGCCTAGCGTACCGGCCGTGTTCGTACATGTCATCGGCACTTTTAGGTTTAGTGGTACGCGATTCTGAGACTTCAAATGACTGTTCGGTAGAGTATTTCCTTCGGTTAACCTGTATGTTCCGTTCTTTCTTGCATACGGTGTCCGCACATGGAGCGAAGACCATCAATGTGAGGCGCTTTCAGCTGTAGCGCACACAGGCCGCCGCCGAAAGCCACCGGGTGGTCTCGCCGGCACTTCACTGACTCACAGGTCGAAACACATGCAGGCTGGTCACTCTGTACGCGTTCAGAAAGAAACACGGATACTTTCGTGCACATGCAGTTTCGCTGCTAGCAATCGGCTATGGCTCTCACATTACAAATACAAATTAGTACACCCTGACACGGCCACTGCACTATTATTACGTCTCTTGCGTTAAAAAATGCATCTTATTCAATCAAGCACGCGCGTACTTGTTGGACATTATAGTCGATATAAAATTTCCGTGCACGTCATCCAGCAAAAAAAAAAAACAATTGGCTCTTGGACTCAGCAGTAACACCTGATAATCTGCCTCAGCTTCTTCGTATTTTTATATAATTCTTTTCCATGTTGTGAATTCTGAAGAAAACTTGACGTTTTGGCCATTGCGGCATGTTATGCATGTCAAACTGCAACCTGTGAAACGGTACGTTTCGTATTTTTTTAAATTCACGACCATATAGGGCTGCCTGATGACTGCTGGTGCTTTTTTATTCATTTCGGTGTTTTGAGTTTCGTGGGCTCTTTCTATTGTACGCAATGAGTGGTGTTGACAACTACAGTCGTCCAATACGCTTGGAGTCGCAGTAATTAAAGAATACTAGAAGGTGTCAATGATGTAAAATTATTCATGCAAAGACTTGTGGTGGGATAAAAACCAATGTGCTACGTGAATGCTCGTGAATACGAACACGGTATGATATATGGTCAACCTTCTTTGTCATGTTGTTGTGCTGCGTCTCACATTATCCAATCAAAAGTACAACTCACGCTGCTTGCCCCATTGGCGAAAAAAACCATCAAATAGGTTAAAAGGAGCACATTACCTGCACGCTCCTGGAAATAAAATAGAGTGGAGCTTTTCAGTTAGCGGTTAATTATTATGCCTACTTTGTGGTTGCAGTTTCGCATACCTCGATTGGCTGTAACAGTGCAATAGGCAAGTTCTCTGAAATAGAGCTGTCGCACTTTGGGACAATCTAGCACGGGCGCGTACTTTGCAAAGCGAAACGTATCAGGGGTGTGCATGATTACGCATGGAGCTACAAACAAATCAAGCTTTTCCGCCTTCAATTTTCGGAAACAGATATGGGTCGTGTGATTATGGCAAGCTGTTAGGATATTATGGCTTCAGTCAGTACAATTCCAATGACATAATGAATGCGTACAGCCGGGCTAGATCACATAGCACTCCAACGTGAACCTCATTATGCATACAGGTAATGGTGGCTGAGGTTTGTGGTGCCGTTTTACCAATACTTGTGCTAATAATAGCAGGACGCATTTAAGACCAGTAGAAGTGACCAGAATAGTAAAATTAAAATTGAATCTGTGCTTGCACTCTATTTTCAACATCATCCATGCTTATAGCAAAAGAAAGCTCCGTCCCAAAATACGCTCATCAGGTTAATACGGTGTTGTTTTCACTTCTTCGAACAGCGCGTATTACCGCGATGGCGTTAAAGAGCTCGTTTTGTAGAAATTACGTCGTCGACGTTGTTGGTTGTAAGAGAAAAATCATCATCTTACTCGGTAACAGCGGGGACCAAAGCTGAGTCGTTCGGGTCCGAGTGGGTATAAAACCTGAATAGTTGGAATGCTAAGCAGATATTCTACCACACGGCCACGTTTTTGCTTTTGAATAAAGTGAAAAGAACTTCCTCGGCTTGAAGGGCAGTGCGAGTATCTTTCATACTTTACACACACACACCCGCTGTATACATGCTTAACAACACAACATGAAATATTGCAGTATAGTACTAATAATAATAAATACAAGCACTCATTGTCAGCAGCTGTCACAACATGTCTACCTTAAGGCTTCGATGTTTTAAGCTGGTCACCCAGTACAAAAGGGACGCAGGCTACTGCACCTATTTCGTTAAGGCCGCGCAGTGGATGTATAGAAAGTTCACACCAGTTTCATCCACTAAAAGTACGCACTAAGAATAAAAAATTCTGGGTGCGAGTTAGGATAGAACCCGGGCTGTATCCGTGGCACGCAAGTGTTCTGCAACTCACCCGCGTTTCTGCTAGAAAACACAGAGAAAACTTGCTCTGCTCGCAAGTGCCGCCTTTTTTGCGTGCAGCCCACTACACAGAATGCAGTCACATGTGCATATAGGAACGTGACATTGACATTGCGATCAACTATTAAAGGTGGAGCTTGAGGGTCCCTTAATTTTTTTGTTTGCTAGCATGGGAGACAATATATCAAATAAAAAAAATAAAAGAACGATTTAAGCACGCGGCTGAATGCCTTGGTTGCAGGAGACGCACGTGTCAACGAGCAAGTGGGCCTGACGGCGATGCACACCCTGTGGATGCGGGAGCACAACCGAGTCGCTGGCGAGCTGAAGCGACTCAACCCTGGCTGGAAGGACGAGATCTTGTATCAGGAGGCCCGGCGAATAGTGGCCGCTGAATTCCAACACATCACCTACAACGAGTATCTTCCACTCCTACTCGGTTCGTGCCACTCATGAGTTTGCACGCAGCGTCATTTTTTCTCCACATCAATAAACTGCGATTCGCAAGAGCTGCAGGAAGAGATCGAAAATCGGCAGAGCCCATGCACTCATGCGAAGCAGTCCGCAAGTGCATGTCAATGCTGAATTTTTAGGCTATGACCCACGGGTTGCGAGGTGGGTTTGTAAAGCGTAGTTCTTGTGTGCCCATTCAGAGCGCACCAGGCACGTATGGTAGCATACGAGCCTTCTCAGACCATAGATAGTAGCCCAGCAACCACAGTCTTGAAGGATATCAACTTCTTTTCAAGGATGTTGACCACATGCGAAAGGCTTACCAGCCACTCTCTAAGAAGGCTCAGTTAGAGTATGCTTCCTGCTACTAAGATCTCGTTAAGAAGGGCATCGCGAAGTCTTGTTTAAGGCCGTGCTTACTTATGTCCTGCCATTACAAAGTCTGAGACACTTTTATTCTGGAGGCTCTACTAAAGGCCATACCCGAGTCATTCGTGAAGACTATTTAAATGTAGAGTGCTGACTCTCGCGATGACAATGAAAGAGGAATAGCAAGGCGAGGATTTGTGTATTAGCCATACAACCACAGTCGTTCGCATGGTACTAAAAAAGTGGCGGAGATATTTGGCGTGGACGTTTTCTTTCTTCAGCGCTGTGCGAATGGTCTCGCATGTGTGCCCTGCAAGTGGAATGGTAAGTGTGGCCCTTACGACAAACGCAGCATGAAAGACTGGGATAGTCCATGGGGCTCTCATAAGCTATGGCATGGTTTATGCAGGCCAAACATTGAGATGTTAGAATAAACGCCTGTTCAGATAGTGGACAACACTTTGCGGCATACTGTAGGTCGTGCAATAACTGTGATACAGTCTTTAAGGAAACAAAAGCGTTGGGGTGTGCGATAGAAAGACAGTCACGTGTATTATGGGAACCGTCCCGGGCTTTGAGCCTTGGCCTAGGTAAGTGTGTTAGTGTACCCCCTCTTTATATATGCAATTGTTCAGAGAGATAAAGGGTCACTATTAAACACCTTTATTTGTGCGTACGTAAGGAGCCTACGTTCGCACCACGCCTGCGGAAAAAAAGTGTGCGTGTGCACTACGTAACGTATCTATGAGGTGCGCGTGTGCACGTAACGCAACGCTTACTACGTTGTGTTTTCACAAGACCTTTAGTAAACCAGAAACTAGTGCGCAAAGTGGCTGCAGCGGCGTTCGTCACAGACAGCAACAGCGAGCCCGATGCAAGTTTCATGTACGTTAGGCCACGTTTAGATGTCAGACAAGCGACATTCAAGCAGCATGTCAAAACATCCTGATGACTATAAAGACATAACCTGGAATTTGAGAAAAATATTCAAGGAACCGTCTTCGATATGTTATGTACCGGAACGCGTTTTTTCGTTTGGTTTTTCAGCGATTGACTCCGTAAAGTATGAGTGAAAGGAACTGTAATACATACTTTTATTCATGCTTCAACGTAACACCCTCTTAGCGTTTTGCGAGGCTTAACTCCAAATGTGCGGCTTTAAGAGCAGGAAGTCAAGAACACCATAAATGCGACCATTTGTTGAAGCGTATGCTAAGCCTCATGCATAGCCATGCTCAAATGACTCCCATGTTCGATACAGCGTGGCCGTGTTCTTTCAATTGACGTTTCTACGTAGGGCAGCTTGCTTCAAACCAGCCATACAATGTAAAGTTGAACAGACTCAGCAAAGTTCGTTGGTTGGTTAGTTTGGTGGCGAAGTTAAGCGTCATTTATGGGCACAATACTGAATGATCTCCAACGTATACACCTAGGATACATTAATTCAACATGCACACCAGTGGTAAGTGATCACGCATCGGTATACATACCTGACACATAATAAAACAGCTAAGGTAAACTGTACTTTAGTTATATCATTAAATAATATGAGGACCATGAGTAATAGTAGTCAGAAACGAGACATAACACCCCAATATCGACTGCATGATAATTGTACCCCATGGCAATAAACGCCGAAATATACATACCTGGCATTTATTGGCCCATGGGATGACACACCATTCCACAAAATTAGCTGTATGACCCTTTTTAACGTTTTATGTTTCGGTATTACTAAAACAAGTCACGAAGGGTTGTATGACATGCAACATTTGCTGTTGAAAACACCCGCGAAACCTCGCCGTGGCGTGCTGTGCAGTGAAAGCGATGCAAAGGCAAGCTTCCGGATTCATTTTGGTTGTTCGGATAGGAAGGTTTTTTTTCCTTGCCTAAAAACACTGTTTTGAAACTATGTATGTCTGACTGACAATTTCATTTCATTTATTGATACTGATACCATCGTCGCAAGGTTGGCATTCCCACATGCCACACCAACCATTTTTACAATTCATTCATGCGCTCTTTCCTGTCTCCCTTGTTTTCCTTCAAGTTTGTGAAGCAATTCAATTTTTTATTCATCCCCGTACGTCAGCAAGTTGGAATCACCTTCCCCAGTCTGTAGTCAAGATTACTAATAACTCTAATTTTAAGGCCGCTGTAACTAACCTGTCATGATAATTTTTAGGAATATAGTATTTCCATTTTCAGGAGCACTTCGTTCTTCATCATATGCTGTTGAAACGACGCATTTTTTTCTTTTATAGGCACGTGCTTGTGGTTGAGTGTTATATTGTTTGCTTGTCTTTTTTTATTACTAGCCCTGTTAAGCTTTGTAGTTCTTAAATACCTGTTTTTGTTCTTATAATGTGCACTATTTCTTGTTGGTTTTTTTCACTGATTCATATAACCACCAATTTCCCGCTTTTTTATTAGGTTGTGTTAAAAATGTAATCCACTCCCCTCTCTTATGCCCTATGGCTCTCAGGGTATTGATATAAATAAATAAATAAATAAATAAATAAATAAATAAAGCCTTTATTGGAGAGCTATAACCAGAGTGGAAAGAAATCATATTTAAACAAAAAAGGATGTAAGACAAACACGAAAAAAATCTTTGTTACTGAAACACATATTGTTTCACGGCAAAAATCGCAATTCAACTAATACAGTTATTATAATTGCAATCTCATTAGTGCAACAAGAAAAGAATGCGTCACTGCTGAACCATATATCACAACATACCAAAACACATCATAAAAACTACAGCTTAGTAACAGGCACATCATTTACACTTGGCATCTAAATCTTAATGCATAGGTTCAGAAAACACTATCGAGCTTATGTCTTCTAAAGACTTAGAAATGGATTTAGTTTTCGCAACTTGTGGGGTGCTCACACCCTTTGTAAAGTTGTTTGCACCGCGTGGTGCGTTTGTCCTGCGCAGAAGCCGCATTTTAGGTAACAACTACCGGGTGGTAGGTGGCGTTGTGCTCGTCAGCGTTTATCACCACCATCATCACCATAGTTATAAAACGCTAACGCCGACGGCGACACCTGGTGAAAAGTCTTGGTGGCGGCATGCAAGAAATAAGCTGGTTTCTTGTGGCGTGGGGCGGCAGCGCGGAAGGTTGCCTCTAGCGGTGGGTCTGCCGTGGACGGCACCCCATCTGCGGAGGGGTCCACGTCGTGAGTCAGGCGTTAGCGACACCACCTTTTTTTTCATGTTGTTGACTGTTGTTTATTTTTGTGTAGGGATATCTTAACGTGGTGATTACGATTGCTGGTAAAATTATGCTACTGGCGATATCATCATTCTATAAGCAGGTAAATAAATGTGTGTTGTTGTTTCGGGTTCGTGCTGACTGTGTCTGCTGTGTCTGTGTTTCAAGAGCGTGGTGCTCGCTCGCCATATCGAAACACCACACTGGCTGCCCAACGTGGAGCTTAGGCCATCGGGCAACAGTTTTTGCAGTTCGGTACGAGGTATTGGTATAGCCGGGGTAGAGTAGGCCTAGAGGGACTTCTTTGCTGGCGTCAGCGGTGTGCTTTGTTGAGAGCGAGGAGATCGTTTTTTTTTTTTTGACGTGTTTAAACTTGTCGGCACATTGAGTTGGTATTTTTTCTGCTCGCAAGAGGTTTTTTGTGGTGATTCGTTTTTAAGAACATAGTTCAGTTGGGAGTAGAGTGATGCGGTCTGCATCCTGGGGTGAGCAATGCTTAGAGCACGTGGGTTGTAGGCCAAGCCTGAAGCGAGTGAGTACGGAAGCCTTCTAGGTGGTCCGAGTTTCAGTAAATAGCTTTTCCTCTCTCTTTGGGCTCAGGGAGTCGGCGTCCTTCCCCGCTGGTATTGCGGATCGAAGCCAGGGAGTCATGACGTTATTCGAGACGGTGACTCTGATCGCTCGATAATCTGCTGTGTGCGGCGACCGATAGGGCCACCTTACAGAGTGGATGTCTCCTTGCGGTTGCCCCTTCTTCGCCTAGGCTGGGTGCTGAGTGAATGCCGGTTGTTGTCAAGCGACTCATTAGGCTTAAGGCCTTGCGCAGCCGCTTGTCGCACCTGGCACAACTAGGTGCATTGTGGCGTTGAGGTGTTCCACTCTGCTTCTCGCGGTTTTTTTAAAGACGATTGTCTTTATTGGAGACTTTCGACGCAAAATTTTTTGTCTGTCTGTTTGTCTGTACACTTGTCTGTTTGTTCACTTTTAACAGCATCGGGTATTTGAAACGGCCGACACCATCCGCAGCGCCCACCTGTGTTGCTCAAGATTCAGCGTTGATACTTGTGCAATTGTCGATTAAAAAGCAGTAATTGCACGTGTCTGGGGCACCATAACAACACAAATATATTCTGCATGTGCGCCTTTCACTAGAAAAAGCATACACAAGTAAATTTAGGGACCGTAGCGCTTATCACGCTGCGCTGACCATCCAACTCTTGCACGGAAAGGCGAGTGTTTACAACGCTTTGTAAAAGGAGACGATGGTGGCGCCTACCCGTCGCCTTGCGTTCTACACCTTCTCACCTCTGAGGCGGAGGCGCGTACCCGTCTCAGACACGCGCTTTGTGTTTGAAAAAAAAAACTGCCAGATGGCGGTCATGTCTCACGTGTAACG